CACCGTGTTCTCTACAAAAGCTTTACTGACCGCGGGCACACCGTCACGGGGTACAAAACAAACCCAAAACAGCCAAAACCAAACACCATAAACATACGACGAACGGAACAGAAGGAAAACCCCACGACCGAGAAGGCGAGGGGCTCCACCCGGCCACAGCCCAGCGGCTCAGGGCGAGAGCTGGTCCAACCTCTCCTCCTGCCGGCTGGCCAGGTGCGACTCGATGATCTCGGCGAAGAGGTTCCTCTTCAGCAGGGTGTAAGCCAGGGGCAGCAGCTGGCCCACCGTCTTATGGAAGTACTGCAGGAGAGAGGGAAGACGAGAGCAGCCCCATTCAAACTGGTTTCTTCGACTTCTCCCAAAACGACTGAGCCCATACTGGTGCTACACCTGCACTAGCCCCAGCGAGGTCAGGCTGGGTTACCCGAGATGCTGCAGGGAGAGGTGGAGATCTATTTTTAGCAGTGCAAGGGATGACAACTCTTCTTAAGGCCTAGCCTGCAGTTGAAATCTCATATGCTGTCACGCTCCACAGCTCAAGGGGCTTACAACGGTAGTTATAGTAACCACCTCAGTGCTTCAAGTGTATGAAAGTCAGAGCACTTTGCAGCATTTGTGATGGTTATTGTACATGTAAGCCCACAGCACCTCTCCTATGGAGGGGAAGAGGTTTAAGTCCTTGTCTGTGTCTTGGGTTACAGAAAGAGGGTCAAGTGTTTCTTCAGGCTCTGTAAGCAAGGGGACAGCCATGCTCTAAGTGGGACCAAACCATGGTGTTATGTATGTGCAAAACAGTTCTTCCTTGCTGTTTACTAAACCAGAAAATGAAATAAGGCTTCTGTTTTTAGAAAACAGCTGCAAAATTAAGCAGCAATTTTGAAACACCTGTAAGAGATCAGGACATAATTTGTCATTGCAGGAGTTTGTCAGTGGTTAATCTCATGTGCTGAGAAGCATGAAAGATGAGGGTTTGCCTCCACTCACTCAGCCAGTTACTGCTCCCCTCACTGCCTTTCCAGATAGATGGAGGAAGGTATTAAACAGCTGAAGCAGCTCAGTCACCGAAGGAAATGTCCTAAATAAGCAGGATATCATCTCAGATGTTTCAGGAAACTTAGAAGAGCAGGGCAAGAAATCTAAGAAACACATTAGACTACTAGAATAATCTCCTCAGGGAAGTGGTGGATTCCTCAGCACTGGCCACTTTTAAGGTTAAGCTGGACACAGTGCTGGGACCATGATTTTGCCAGGAAAGGTTGGACCAGATAACCCCTAAGGTCCCTTTCAACCTGATATTCTGTGATTAGTAATTTAGGTCTAATGAACAGAGCAGTCAATTTTTCTTTGCTTCAGTAGCTAAGTATTTTATTTAGCATTTAGCATAACTTTTATGGGCCTACGTTTAGTACTGCAAGATTTTTATCGTTCTTCATGACACTTTGGAGCACCCTTAACCCATAGTGTTTTTAGTAAAAACACTATTTTGCATGGGTGTGTCTATGACCATCCAGTAATACTACACTGATGTTGAAGCTTCTTTATATGTTATTTCCTAGCCATAGATTTATGAGAGACATGACCCTTTTCGTCAACAGGACAGTGGCTAATACAGAACAAAAACTGTTAAGTCGAATCTTTACATGTGATTAAGTGCTAGTAAGTCAATCGGCTTCCTTATGATACTCATTGTTAACAGAGAGCCAAAAAGAGACACCTAGTGGGAGGTCTTCCATGCAGCCATATAGGCAGTTCAGGCACACAACTGAATGAGGTTCAAATTTTTTCAGCTGGGGTTACTACGAACATCAGTGTCTATTGATGCTGTTGATACGAGCACTTGCACTCACACAAATAGCTGGGGATAGAGGCTATAGCTGTTCAGTCTATACGGATCAGACACTCTGTGTTTTTAGTCTAATGACAACTTACTGTCTTACACCAAATTACAAGTTACACACTATTTAAATACTTCCGGATTACAGGATTGTGCTTTCATGCAAGCCATTTTTAAATTCAACATAGAACGATGTCTTAAGTGCAACTTTTTAACAGTCTTCACAAATTAAGAATACTCTTGCAGACTTTCAGTGTTCCTAGGGATAATTACACAATAGAATTCGGAATAAAGATCTATAGCTCTCAACAACTGCCAGTCCATGAATAAAATGCATAATTTTGTGAAGTATGATTGTTGTAGTACTCACGTGTGATCCATAGCAAAACAGGTCCATCCCCAGCTCATACCCCATTCCATAGTCACATTCATCATTAGCAAACTGAACAAAGGTCAGCATTTCCTGAATGGGAGCAAAGGCCTTCAGTCTCTCATCATCAGTAGGAGCATCAACGATGGCCTTACAAATTTTTTTAAGATTAGCTGCAAAAGCAGAAATATTTAGATGTGTAAATAAGGAAATTTAATATTGCATGGAAGCAGTTTGTGGCAAAAACATACCTGTGTGTCACACCTACATGAAGAGTAAGAGAAAACACCCTGAGCTGCTGGTGAAAAAGCTTCCCCCTTTCCTTTGCTGCTCATTTTTGCTCCATGCCCATCCACACAGAAACATATAATTCCCCATATAGAGATATATGGTGCCCCATATAGAGACAAGCATTTGTGTGGTGAACTTGCATCAAGGAACTGATTCGGGTTAGAACAACACTGGGAGAAGAGGGAGAGCAAGAAATAAACCCACAAATCCCTGAATGTAGATCAGATTTTTTATCTCCTTCCTGCATAGCTGTGCCAATACAAAAGAGGACATCTAAACTACTACTTCAAGAATTATTTTTTCAGATTTATCACATTTCATCATTTCTCGTCTGGTTCATTTAAAGAAAATATGTAGAGTTGAAGCGTGATGGTTAAGACTTCTGCCTTTTATTCTCACCACTCATATTCTGCAAGTAGGAAATATGAATGCAACTTAATTTTTGCAGAGTATCTGTGTGACTGAAGACTATTTACTTAAACAATGCACAAGAATATAAGATATTAACAGTAAATAATAAGTAAGTAAGATATTTTACCATTTGTTTCAGGAAGTTCTCTGTATCCAACATCATTTTTGTCTACAGGAACAACTAGACCTGCTCCATGAAACGCTTTGGTCACCACCTAAATAAAGATACAAGAAATTGAATATAGCACTGTAACTCAATACTGTGATATAAAACACATTCACCTCACTTACAACGTTAACACTTGACTGCTGGTCATCAAACCTAACATAGTGTCCAGGCTCCAGGACATCAACTTAGTTTCAAATTAAACAGCAGTAATTTTTAAGTATTGAAGTTTAAAATAACTGGAAACTCAATTTCAGTTAAGTTTTGAAATCTAAGAACTATTGTGGTCACTTGTATAGCACTGTACTACGTTTAGTCACCTCCTACCATAATTATTTCTGATATCTATGTGAAAAACCTCTATTACTAATCCATATCATGCTTAACGGTCCTGTTTCAAATACATCCAACCCATGAATCTTCACATTGAAGTAATTTCCTCCATGCTCCTGATTTACTCTAGTTTTTAGACTACTTCCCTTATTGTTTTTTTTTTCTTTAATTGAATGCCAAGCTATGGCTTACAAGAGTAAAGTGTTTTGATTTAATCTCATTATTTGGAACATGCTTGTATTAATTTTTCCCCCTCTGAAGTTTTAAAGAGAGATCAGCTCGGAAATTCCTAAATGAAGCATCCTTACTGACTAAGAGGAAAAATTTTTTAAAAAGGTAGAAAAAATAAAAGAAACAAGCAAGTAAACAAAGTTTAACAGAACTTAAGTTTTGTCAAGTGAACCAGGAAAGTCATACTTGCTTATCTCTTTGTTTCATCTTCATGGTTTTTTGTTCCAGAGAATAACCCAGATCTTTCGCTGTTCTTGTTAGTTTTTCATCTATGTCTTTCAAAATAGCATTTTTCTTTTTATCAGTCACTTCCTTAATTTTTTTTGACAAAAATAATCTGCAAACAGAAGAAGCATGTCTTAAAAGAGCTTAACAGAAAACAGACAAATGAATAGCTTTCTAATCACTAAACCTCCAAATCTTATAATGAAGATTAGCAGTCATGGGTTTATTTATACATATGGACTTGGGAATGCAAGCCTCTGGACAACAAGAAAGAAAAAAGTGTTTAGCCTAGACATTTCCTATCTGTTTACAGTACAATATAGTTTATGCAATCTGAAGGTGCTGAAGATTGTCCTGGACTCGGTAGCCTATCATCTTTCTATCTTAAGAATTTCAGTTTGCTGCTTCAGTGCCATACACACCATTTGTCATCCAAGTCATGCACATAAATACATATTTATGAGTTTCATCATGGTGCTTTCAAAACAAATGTCCTCGTTTAACTCTGCACTACATAAGGCTTCTTTTCCATAAGTTGTTCTTCAGTACTCTTTCACTTACTGACACGTATCTGTCCTTAGAGATCTTTCCATTTTTAACTGACAGGTGATGAAATCTGTTGTTTCCATTCATGATGCAGGACCATGTAAAGCTTCATGAATCACACTGAAATACTCATATAAATGTTACTATGCCCCAGGTCAGAAATGAGGCTTCTTGTAGTTATTCAGTATATACAAAAATAATTTATTTTGATATAAGCAAGAATAACAGCTAGATGCTATTCATTCAGTACAATAATCAGGTTTCCTTCATCACTGTTTGGGATGCACTGCTGTTACTTACAAAGTATTTTAACACAACTAGAAGGCTTATTTTTTTTCCCTATAGAGCCTATCCCTTCCAATATATTCAAAGAATGGTATTACTAACACTGATCTGTTTTACTTGTAAAAGCAATACACTGCTAGGAAGCCTACAAAGGCTTATGAGAGTACCTTACAAGTTGCTATCAGGAGCAGAAAACGAGTGTTTCTGAAAGATAGACACATACTAAGTTAGCTGCATTATTCGACATCACATCATCCAATTAGTAGTTTCTCTTCTACTCTACTCTTTATAAATAAAAACAAATATGAACCTTACTTGACAGCAGCGAAGACATTATCACCAGCCTGTGAAATCGCACAGCCCTTCTTTGCTTCATTTGTACCAACCCACACTGGAAGCTCATCTGGCACATCCCTATTTATGAAAAAGTAGACACAAGTAGGAAAAGAAGACACAGTTGACTATTTCAAAGTAAAAATTAATTTGCCTCCTCAACATGCTGCCATCTCCTACAGAAGCCTAACAAAAAATGCTCTTGGATCTAAAGCTCTAGAAATATTACAGCATGGCTTTGGAAGGAGCTCATACAGGTTCCCTTGATTTCATAATGCTTGACATTTTCTGCCAAGTATGAAGGCAAAATATTAATAAGTGAAGGTGCTCAGAAGGGTTAGAGGAGATAGCTTATTAAATACTTAAATCTAGTCTTCAACTCTAATATCTACAATCTTTCATAAAAAAAATATCAACATACATGTTAATACCCTATTACAGAAGGGAAAGATTCTTGTTCGGTCTTCGTGCACAATTCTCAAATTATGTCTTGTGAAAGAAAGAGGAGGAAAATCTACGCATAATTATAGTTGAGGAAGAGCATATATTAAACTAAATACCTGAAATATCCCATGTGATACTGTGTCTTGCTATCCCCAACAAGTATAGTCTGGAATTCTGGGGGATCATAGAAGAATCTCCAGTGAAGATTGAAGTTCAGATCTGTTGATTTTGCTTTTTTGTGTTTTCCAGCAAGAATATCATATGGTCCAACCAGTGTAAGTCCAACACTTGACACAAGTGCATCTAAAAAGCAAAGTATGAACTGGTTTACTTTCTGGTGGCTGCATGCCTAAACCAAGAACTTCCCGTGTCACTCAGGTATCAAAAGCTTCCATAAATCCAAAGAGTCAAACACTCTTGCTTACCACATAAGGAAAGCTGAGACATTCTTTTATTCAGATAGCTTTTATTCAAGAGTGAGATTATTACACATCTCATAAGAAGTAGTGGTTAACAGTTCAATGACCAGATGGAGACTGGGGACAAGTGGTGTCCCTCAGGGGTCTGTACTGGGACCAGTGCTGTTTAATACCTTCATCAGTGATATCAACAGTTGTCATCGAGTGCACCCTCAGCAAGTTTGCAGTCAACACCAAGCTGTGTGGTGCAGTCAACGCGCCGGAGGGAAGGGATGCCATCCAGAGGCACCTTGACAGTCTTGAGAGGTGGGGCCATGCAAACCTCATGAAGTTCAACAAAACTGAGGGCAAGGTCCTACACACAGTTCAGGGCAGTCCCAAGCACAAATGCAGGCTGGAGGATAAGTGGATTGAGAGCAGCCCTGCAGAGGATTTAGGGGTGCTGGTGGATTGAAAGCTGAACACAAGCCAGCAAAATGTGCTGCCGGCTCATAAAGTCCATCACATCCTGGGCTGCATCAAGGGAAGGGTGGCCAGCAGGTCAAGGGAAGTGACTCTTCCCCTCTGCTCTGCTCTTGTGAGACCACACCTGGAGTACTGTGTCTAGGTCAGCGTCCTCAGCACAAGAAAGACATGGACCTGTTGGAATGTGTCCAGGAAAGAGCCACAAAAGTGGTCAGAGGGCTGGAGCACCTCTCCTGTGAGGACAGGCTGAGAGAGCTGGGGTTGTTCAGCTTGGAGAGGAGAAAGCTCTGGGGAAACCTTATTGCAGCCTTTCAGTACTTGATGGGGGGCCTACAAAAATGGTGAAAACAAGCTTGTTAGCAGGGCCTATTGCAAGAGAACAAGTGGTAATGGCTTTAAACTAAAAAAGGGTAGATTTAAACTAGATATAAAGGAAGAAATTTTTTACAATGAGCATGGGAAGCACTGCAACAGGTTGCCCAGATTGGTGGTAGAAGCCTCATCCCTGGAGACATTCAAAGCCAAGTCGGATGTCTAGTCAAAGATGTCCCTGCTCATTGCAGGGAGGCTGGACTAGGTGACCTTTAAAGGTCACTTCCAACCCAAATCATTCTATGATTCTAAAAGAAATTGTGATTTCTAAAACACCCAGGGACACCACATTCTGTTATACGGTAAATCTGGGGAAGTTGAAACCTGGATTGATATGAGGAAACTTTGGTTCCATACAAAACATTTAAAATGTATTTGCAGGAGAGGCAGAGTTAGACAACATCTAGTTTCTTCATATTACACAATTAAAGTAATTATATTTTAGAAAGCTTGAAAGTTACTGACATCTTTGTGATTATCTCCAATATTCTTGTTTACACGCATGTAAATATTCTGCATCTTAAGTGAAAACTGAAGAGGCATTAGAATTCATCTAACCATCTCCAGTTTCCCTACTTTCAGGCTGTTTGCAAGAGCAAAAGTTAGAAAAAGCAAAAAATATTTTAAAACCCACCACTTGGCTTCTCAGGATCTAGTTCCTCACAAAACTTCCAAAACTGGTAGAAGTCTTCAGGCAGTTTAAGCCGATAGCATGTTTCTGCTTCTTGACGAAGACTATCAGGGATATCTGCCTGATTTGACCTTCTCTTTTTGACATCTCCATTTTTTTCACACTGCTGATAAAAAAAATAATATTTAGTTACCTTCTATCAGTTCTACTGAAGTATTTTAAAAAGCCTCTGTATTAGTGGAGGAACAATGATTATTGTCATGCTTGTTACTTAAACCACCATGTATACAGATTAGAACATCTATTTGGGATAGAATCCCTTATAAGTGCCTTCTCCGAGACACATGCTAAGCGCGTATGAAATAACAAAGTGCTACTTTGATATTAATGGATTAGTATGTTCTTAGTTAATCAAACAAAGGATTAAGCAATCCCAAAGTTCAACGTAGAGTTCTACGTTATTTTAAAACCACAACTTCCAATCACACAGCAGCTTGCTTCCAAGAAACCTGCACATTTTCTTTAAGTCTTTACTACCTGAACTACTCCGCTATTCAGCATCCAAAGTGGTGCAGCTTACAGCACAGCATTTTCAGAGTGACTTAGGCTTAAATAGTTTTTAAAAACGATGTAACATGACCTGAAACAGGCTGGGAAGCAATCCTTTCAGGCATGCACACCGCTAAAGTGGGAACCTCAGCCACCTCAGTCCCACAAAAAGGCTTCAAAATTGGCAGGAATCGTTATTCTCTCCCCCCTGCCCCGTTTTAAAGAATATATTTTAAAAAAAAAAAAGGCGCCTATTTTTCTCTTGTTAGGACAGCACAAGGAGAGGCAGCCCTTCCAGCCCTGAGGCGGCCGCTCTGAGCCCTTCACTAGAGCCCGAGCCCCCGCTCGGCGGTCGCTGTTCACAGCACACCTCAAGGGCGCCAGTCCCCCGGGAGAGGCCCGGGGACTTCCATCAAAGGTAAGGAGCAAACCAGAGAGAGGGGGCCGCGGCCCGGCGCTGCGGCCGGCCCCCCGCACCGATTCAGGCCT